ACGGAATGAAATTTATCGCAAATGACTCTCAACACCTTCGGAATGGGTCAGGAATTCATCTTTGCCACCCCCAAGATGACTGACAATGCCGGAATCAAGACAAAAATTGATTGAAGTCTGGACTTCGGAAAAAAACTCAGTAAGTCGATGCATTGAGCGGCCATCCGCATAGAGAACACCGCGCAGTTACCTCCAGACTTGCGGCACTTTTTAATGATTGGCTGTTATTTTATAAAACTGTAGCTCGTTCGTTCGCCGTCGTCATTTCGACAATGAAAGTCAGCAGGAACTATAAAACCCAGAGCAACAAATAAATGGTTTTGATGCTCGAACAGTCTCCTTGTTGTAATTTAAGGGGCGAGAACATGAGGATGTCTAAATGGTTGTCAAATTTCCTTGAAACAACCAATTTGCTAATAAGCGATAATGCCAATTCGAATCGCCATTTAATGCAAAACCACTAAACAAAGGCTGATCTCAATATTTCAGTGGTTAGGGTTTTTCGGTGGTAATAATTTTCCAAAAAACCACACTTGCTTAAGTACGGAATCATTATTATTCCAAAATGCTCGCTCTCCCGTTTTACTTGTGTTTAAAAACACCACTAGTGCTTTTTGATTTTTGGCCGAGGTGTTGCTGTCTAATTAAATCTCCTTACTCCCAATATCACTGAAAAGTACCAAACAAAAGCATACAATATTATCACTGCAGAGACCGATACTGAAATTTCTGAAGTAATTCTTTAGAAAACGAGATCTTTTGATCATAGTTGACAGGAAATCCTGTTTGTCGCTGTTAGAATAAATGGTGCGAACTAAAGACGTTTGTAAGTAATCAGAACAAACCATTTTTGGTGTATCCAGGCTGATAGTTTGGTTGACAGTTCGGCATTATATGTGTAAACACTGAGGCAACTATCCGCCAACCAAAATTTGACTTTAATTACTTACGCCATCCCCATAGGCAAAGGCCAACGCAGAGTGACTTGCGAGCTTTTAGAAAAGACATCTTAAGACCTCATATTTCCACTTGATGTAATTAAAATTGCAGAACTTATTTCGCACTGCGACTTACATCGTACCCACTCACCTAGTCTTATGACTCTGAACATTTGCAGGTCATGTGGCATTGTAGTTTATGGCGGCTTAAAATGACGTTACACTGTATAACAAGATATATGTATATCTCTGGAACGGGCCACGCAGCAGATGTACTGGACCAACGCAGAGCCTACATAGGCATCTGGCATGCATTATCGGGATGCGCATCGATAACAAATGCTGGCATTCGAGGTGCGATGGCAAGCCCAGTTGCAGACTGATACCGCGCCAAGTGGGACTCCTGCCAGCCCCTATTTATGTTGCTGTTAAAAACCGAAGTCAAGTGTTTGTTTTGCAGACCAAGGGTGTGATAGCACGCCACGATGCGGGTTTTAGCCATGCTAACCATCTGCGGCCTCTCCCACCACCGGTCTTCTTGACTTGCCCCGGGGGGAGGAGAGAGTGCGGCGGATGCTTCGCAAGTCCGCTATCATTATAAACTGATTTACGCGAAAGTTCCCGTGCCTGCTCTCTTCCTGCTGTAGAGTACACGGTGAAAATCGTCGAAACCGACGGTCGAGCTGTCGTATCCCATCCAACCATTCCTGCTTTCGTCTAGGCAATTTTGGCTTCTTTAATTAACCCCTCTCAGTATGCGGTATGTGCGTAAGGTCTACAAACTTTATATCGTTGGAAAATAAAGCCTGTAAGGTATAACTGAAATTCATGATTTTCAGCGGCTGTATCAGTATGCTGCAGGAAGATAAGCTGCTTAATCATGCTATACTAAGATCTATAGTAAAAATTCATGTCACAAAACATGCTGTCCTTGAAAATTAATATCTTACATTTGACCCTAATGATGCAATACAAGTGAAACCGCGTTTTGAACAGATAAACTCCGGCCTGTTAATATAGTAGAAGAAAGTATTCAAAGCCTTCTGA